GGGGGTTCCTGACCCCTGCCAGGGTCCCAGACCTGCCAGGGCAGCCAGAGGGAAGCTCTGCATTCCCACACCTTCTGAGCTCTCCTGTGCAGGGTGGGGGCATTTTGGGGAGACAGGACCATAGTGTTGCCCTTGGGATGTGTGAGGTTACTCCCAACCCCTGTGAGCTCTGCACTCCCCACCCTCCCTGGCAGGGAATGTACTTGTGGCATATCCTGCCATGGGCGTGGAAAGAGGCTCCTGGTTTTTGCCTGGCCACAAGGGGCTGTGAATCTGCTCCTGTCACCCATGTCCGTGTGTCCTGCAGCAAAACGATGGGCAGTTCACGGTGATCCAGCTGGTGGGGATGCTGCGGGGCATCGCCGCGGGCATGAAGTACCTGGCGGACATGAACTACGTGCACCGGGACCTGGCCGCCCGCAACATCCTGGTCAACAGCAACCTGGTGTGCAAGGTGTCCGACTTCGGCCTCTCCCGCTTCCTGGAGGACGACACCTCCGACCCCACCTACACCAGCGCCCTGGTAACGCTGCCTGCAGCCACGGAGGGCAGAGGGAGGGCTGGGAGAGGCACGCAGGGACCTCCCCTTGGCAGCAGGGAGCACTTTTGCAGGGTGTCAGCAGTGGAAAGGTCCCAGAGGTCCTGTCACTCCTGTGGATAGCTGAGCCTTCCTCATGTCTGCAAACACACACACGTCCCTGCAAAGCCCTTGGCTGGGATCATGCCCTGCACCCTCCCCATTTGATTCACCTGGCATCCTTCGAGATGCGACGCTGTCCTGACAGATTTGTTGCCGGGGCAGCAAGTCTGGGTTTCTTACCATCACTGTCCAGCCATGCTGCCCTGCTGTCCTTCCTCATGTCATCTCACTGGCTCAGCCCCAAGAAGGACAGACCGAAGTGTAGGAAGTGTGGGTGGGTGCCAGATACTAGATACTGATCTTCCAGAGAGTATCCAATTTAAACAGAAAAACACTCCTAAAAATGACTTCATGTTCATGTAACGACTTCCCAGGAGCACTTGGTGCCATAGACGCAAGTGCCACCAAGAGCTTGTGGCTCATCTCAGGCTGCAGAAGGTGCTCCAGGACCAGAGGATTATTTGGTTTTGCTCAGTGAGAGCTCAGCCAGTTCTCATTAACACCACACAGAAATGCTCTGCACAGTGCATCAGGATCAATGGCCATGACAGGAATTCTTGGAAATCAGTGTTGATAGAGCTGGGGCATGACCTGTAGGAAATCACCTCTCCTGGGTCTTTTGAAGCTGGCAGTGATGAGATGCCTGGCATAGCTCTTAGTAAATGTTATCAGTAGCTAAATACCTAACAAACACCTAAAAATGTGTGGATTTATTCTCATCTGTGTAGCTTCAGACGTCAACTCGTCCATCTCACACAGCAATCAATGTTTTTTACCAACACTAATAACACTTATTTTTCATGTGTCCCTTACAGCCAATTAAATTTCCCTTTGTTAACTAAATACATGGTGTTTGCTGCTGTTCTCTATCCCTGGTTTTATGCCTGTAGCTTTTCTCTCTAATAATAAATTCATCATCCCTAATTTAATCTCCTTGAACTGTGGCCACTGTAGCAGGGTATTTATTATCCATAATGACAGATTATGTGCACCTACTGTATCAGAAGTATCTTCCTCTGCAAAATGGTTTTTACCATCAGTCTCCCAGTGACCTTGTGTCCATGGGTGAGCAGAAGCCACAAGCTTTGGCCTGGGAGGTTTGTGCTGGACCTTAGGAAAGTCTTCACAGTGGTGAAGCTCCAGGTCAGACCCCACAGAGATGAGAGGTCTCACTGAAGTGAGTTCCCACAATAATCCTCCAAAGTCTAATTTCTACTTTAGGACTTCTTTTTAGCCATTTTTAAAATCCACTGCTTGCCAGGAGTTCTGTCAGGAGCCTGCCTGATGGAGAGGACATCCTGTTTGGTATGGATTGCTTCATCTTCCCCTTTGTGGAAAACATAATATTTTGTCTGAGGTTTGTGGCTGTGAGAAGATTAAGGAACATTATCTTTTTTCATTATTCTGGGATGTACTGGGGCTGAGTACTATGAAGTCTTAGGAGACCCTTAATAAGACATGGCAGTTGTTCATTGACAAAATATAATGTTTTTTAATCTTCTCACAGCCACAAAACACAGACACTTCTGCTTATTTTTTCAGCACAAGGGAAGATTTTCCCTTCAGAAGGTCCCTTGAGTGGATGGCTCAAATCCAAACCCCTGGTAGAAAATCAGGAGGCAGGCAGGACTTATGCAGAGCCCTCAATCCCTGTGTCCCCATCTGTGTGTGCTACTCCGTGCTTAACTCCTCAGCTGGAGTCAAGAATCCTGATTTCTCCAGAGCTGGATGACAGACACCCCAGTGCCCAGCCAGTCTTATCCCATTTCCCACCAGTGACCCCCTGTCCCATACTGAAGGATTAGAACCCGCTGGATCAGGTGTAGATCCACAGACAGACTGGGCCACCACGACTCAGCCAAGAAATGGTCTATGGCTGACTTTAAAGAGTGGAAGCTGTAGAAGGCTGAAGAGGAAGATATTCTAATTCTCTTTATTCTGCTCTGGAGATAGCCAGGTGACAGCAAAAGGATGGAGGGAGATCAATTTGGGATTTTTACTTCCTGGCCATTCACTTTCTACTAAAGACCCTCTTAGCACCATGGGCATTTTGCCATGCTGAGGATCACTGGAGCAGGAGGCAGGGGGAAGGAGCTGACTTTGGATAAGATGGTGACAAGGAGACTGAGGGGACACCTCTGAGTGACCTTCAGGGCAGTAATGAAGAGACAGAGCCAACTCTGCAGTGGCACCAGATAATACAATAAGCGGTCATAGACAAAAACATGGCTGGGGAGGTTCAAGGTGAGCAACAGGAAAAGCTCCTTGCTCAGGAGGGTGGTCATCAAATGGGGACAGTCATCATCATTGCAGGCTTCCAGCACAGCTGGACAATCCACATCCACCCTGAGGGATAGACAGGCCTATCTTCCTTCCATCTGGGATTTTACTAGAATATCACAGACAAATATTGTGGACACTGCTATTTTTCAGTTGCTCCTGCTCTCTCTGCTACCATCCTGTCTGTGTCCTGCAGGGGGGGAAGATCCCGATCCGGTGGACGGCGCCTGAGGCCATTCAGTACCGAAAGTTCACCTCGGCCAGCGACGTGTGGAGCTATGGAATAGTCATGTGGGAGGTGATGTCCTACGGAGAGCGGCCCTACTGGGACATGACCAACCAGGATGTGAGTCCTTGGAAACCAGGGCCAGAAACACTGCAGTGGGGACCATTGCCAGGCCAAAACTTGTCCACAGCCTGTCCCAGCCTGTGACATGGCCAGAGCCTTCTCTGTTGTGGCAGATGTGACCATGGTCAACACCTTTGGAAGCAGTAATGAGAATAATTTGGGGATTTATTCTGGCCCCATGGTGGCTGCTATGGCAGAGATGGGGATGGCACAGCACAAGGTTAAGAGGAGCACCCCAGGGGTGCTGGCAGGTGCCAAGAAAGGGAAGGGGAGCAGGTGGGTGGAAAAGGAGATGTCCCTGAGCTGAGAGCCTCTGGAGTAGATCTTCATCTGCTGGGATCACAGACATTCCAGGAAAGTTTGTTACAAAGCCACACAATAACTTGGGTTGGAAGAGACATTTAAACATCATCTCCTTCCAACCCCTTGCCATAGTCAAGGACATCTTCCACTACATGGTCATTAAATCTCCCTTGGGAAGCTTGGACTGTGGTCTGTAAGAAGCCAAGTAATTTAGACAGAGCTAGAAACCAAAACCACGAGGTACTTCAGAACATACTCAACTTTAAATATTTCATTCCTCTGCTCTAATTCAGGTCAACCAGTTCCATGCACTCCTTGCTCCGGGGATGTTTCCTGCAAGGATGGCCCCTGGCTGCAGTCCCTGCCCTCAGCACAGCAATGCCATTTCCATTCTCCTTGGTCCTCTTGGTGAGGTACCTGGGGCTCAAAGCCCATCTGGCTGGTGGCAGTGAGTGCTGTGAAGAGGCTGCACCTGCATGTGTGTGTCAGAAGGCCACTTCTAACTCTGTCTCTCAGAACAGCTGCCCTTCCTCACATCACGAATATTCAGGATGTAACACCAAGGTCCTGGGTGGACCTAGGGGATGGAGAAAGCTTGTCCTGGCTCTTGCAGTATCTGCCTGACTTCCAGTGTGTCTCAGAGCAGCCTCTGGGGAGTCCCTTGGAAGCCTCCAGAATGCTCTTCATCTCTCCCATCCTGTGGGGCTCCTAAGGCCTTGCCTTACAGGGAGAGAGCAAGAGCCAAGCTCCCTGTCCCTCCTGTCTCTCCCTGACTCCTGTCCCTATGGCAGATCAGACCTTTCCCATCTCAGTAGATCTCCATCTGTGCCCCATCAGGTTTCTCCAGAGTGGGACTATTTCCCCCCTAATGCCTGGTGGGAAATTTATTAATATGAATTCCTAAGCCTGGAGCAGGGGGATGATGCCTTAGAACCTTTGGCTATTCACAGCCTTGTCCCAGCCTCTACCACACCAGGAAAATGTTTCCATCAGTTTTTGGAGGCAGAGGGATGGGACTTAGGGATCTGCCTTTCTCAGCAAGGGCAATTCCCTTCCTGCTAAGCCATTGTTGTCACCTCAGTTTCAAGCATGTCCTGCACCAGGTGTTCCTGTACCTCCCCAGTCCTTTGTCCTTCTCCGGGAGCTCTTCCCTGGCTGGTTTCTCCTGCCCAGCTGCTGCGGCAGCGGCAATTGCCGTGCCGGGCTGGCAGAGCCGTGCCTGTGCCTGGCACCGTCCCCAGCCCTGCTCCTGCCCGTGCCGCAGGACACGCTGCCCCAGGAGCTGTCAGCACTTAGGCACAGCTGGTCCTGCTGTGGAGGAGCGTGCGGATATTGAGGGCAGATTACCCTCCTGACCCTGGGGTGTGAGCGCCTGGGGCGGCGGCTGGCGGAGGACACGGAGAGAGCTGGGGCTGCCTGCGGGACTCGCTGGGAGCAGAGCAGCGCCTGGCACTGCACGCTGCTGCTCCTGCCCTGCACCTGCTGGATGGGCAGAGCTGGACCCAGGGAGCTGGGCTGGGGCTCAGCACCCTTGGGAGCTTCCCTGAGCTGCACAAAGCACATCAGTAGCCGTGGGATCCTTGAGGCTGAAAAAGGCTCTGAGGTCATTGAGTCCAACCATCAACACGGCACTGGCACATTCACCCTAAACGTGTCCCCAGGTGGCCACAACCACACACCTTTTGAGCCTTCCAGGGATGGTGACTCCGCCACTTCCCTGCACAGCCTGTTTCAATCCTTGCCTATCCTTTCCATGAAGAAATTTTTCCATCCAATTTAAACTTTCCCTGGTACAATTTCAGGCCATTTACTCTAATCCTGCCACTTGTTACCTGGGAGAAGAGACCAACACTCCCTGGCTCCACCCTCCTGTCAGTGATTTGTAGAGGACTTAGCTCTGGTCGGACCTTTACGGGCCCCATGGGGCCACCACCGTGTCCAGCCAGGGCAGCAGAACTGGGAGAGCACTCCTCCATCTGGCAAATTTTGGCAGCAGCAGTGCCAGCCCTGTGTCTCATGTCAGCCTGCCCAGCACCTTGGCCACACACAACAGTGCCTGCAGCACCTCCCTATCCATTCCCTGCCTGGAGTCACAGACCATCTCAGGCCCTGCCAGATGCCCATCTCACACTCTGGATTGTTTGGCATGGATCAGCCACCAGCTCTTCTCTGCTTCTCTCCCATTCCCATTCCCAGTATACTTAATTTTCTCTGTGTAGTCTCCCTACTCAACAATATGTCCACCACCATGGGTATGTCTGGACTTCCCCAGGATCAGGGCACAGCCCTAGGGAATCCCACCAGGAAGATCTCTGTCTTTGGAATTGTGCAAGACATGGCTGGACAAAGCCATGGCAGCCTTGATCCCATGGTGAGAATAGCCACAGACACTGAGGTTCTTCCTCAGGATCCCTGAGAGAGGTCTGGCACTCTTCCTTCCCTTGTCCATCATTCCCATGGAGACTTCATCATTTCAAGATCTGCTCCTGATCTCTGCAGTATCCTCAGTTCTGGTTTTTGTCCTTACTTCTGGGTTTTGTCACCATGCACGAGCCCATCTCTGGTGTTGAAGGCTCCTTCTGCTCATCCTTCAGTGCCTGTGCTGTGCGTGGCCAAGGAGGCAGGAGAATCTTGCCTGTACATGCCTCTGTCAGAGGAACAGAGGTTCCTGGAAGAAGTGGAGCAGCTTCATCCTCGTTTGTCACCCAGGAGAGGATTGAGGGCTGCAGGTACAGAGCGGCAGGGAGGTGGAGTTCCCCTTGAAGAAGATCCTCCAGCCCTTGTTCCATTCCAGAAGATCCTCCAGTCCTTTCTCCAGCCCTTGTGGACATTGCAAGACCAGACATTTTCCTGGATTGTGTGGAGCAGTAAGGAGAGACCAAAGCCTTTTTGGATGAGCCTGGAGCTGCAACGTGGCTTTGGCAAGCTGTGCTGCAGCTCCTCTGTGCACACTGCAACCAAGTTCTCCTGGGCCTGGCTCTGCTGACTGGGGTCTGAGTCCTCCCCATGGTGTTTTGCACTTACACAGACCTGCAGAATGATCCAGCTGTTTCTGCTGACTGAGCACACCCAGGCCATGGCACCACCCTGTCACCTGGACGGGCTGGAGCACAAAGCACCACTGGGGGATGGAAAGCACAGGGACAGGCTCCCTGGCTGTAACTCACCTCCCTTCTCTGGATGGGGATGTTTTCCCAGCAAGCTGTTTTGCTATGTGCAAGGGAAGCAGGATCCTTCTCTCTGACTCCCCTGCCTGCAGCTGTGGGATCACAGGGCAACAGGGATGCTCCTCTCCTCAGCTGATCATGACAATCAACCACCCAGGCTGAATGGCTGAGCAAAGCTGGTGGCACCTCCCAGGACACCTCCCACCTCACCTGACTGCTGAGGGCTGGAAGTTACAGTGTGAGGTGGGGATGAGATGGGAAGGCAGTACAGGCTGCAGGATCAGTCACGTCAGTCACCCTCAGGATGCAAGAAAAGGCAGATTATGAATTAAATAGGTTTTATCACAGCTGTATTGATGCCTCTCTCTCTTCCTGCAGGTGATAAATGCCATCGAGCAGGACTATCGGCTGCCACCACCCATGGACTGCCCAAATGCCCTTCACCAGCTGATGCTTGACTGTTGGCAGAAGGATCGGAACCACAGGCCCAAATTTGGGCAAATTGTCAACACCTTGGATAAAATGATCCGAAATCCCAACAGCCTGAAAGCCATGGCACCTCTCTCCTCTGGGTATGTGTCTCTGTCCTCCTCTTGTTCTTTGGCTCCTCTGAACAGGTCTGGTTGTCCTCTGGGCCCTGGTGGCACCATCCCTGCACCTCTCAGGAGCTTCTTTAGAGCCTGGCCTGTGTTTGATCCCTTATAGGGAGAGCATTAAAAGATAATGGAATCACAGTTTGGGGTGGAAGAGACCTTAAAGCCCATCTCATTCCACCCCCTGCCACGGGCAGGGACACCTTCCACTATCCCAGGTTGCTCCAAGCCCCATCCAAGCTGGCCTTGGACACTTCCAGCCTTGGGGCATCCACAGAGCAGGGATACAGATGCCAAGGTCCCTCTCCTTGGGCAGCTCTTGGACAGTGCACTCTGCACACAGAGGAGCACCTTGGTTTCATGTGCATGGGGATGCTGGGGTGGTGGGATTGTTGTGGTGTTCCAGTCCCCTGCACTGGAAGCAGATAAAGCCCCGGAGGCAGTGTGGGGTTTTCCCTGGGCTGGGTGGGTTGCACCAGCTTGTGGGTAGCACTGCTCCTATATGAGAACGAGCTTTCTCCCCATGAGCAGCCAGGATTTAAAGCTCCATCCCATCATCTCTGATGCCTCCTGCCTCTCCTGCATGAACTGGTCCAGAAAGGCTTCCCTCATGCTCTTCACAGTCCTTCCCTTGGCAGAACAGTGATTTCCGGGTGGAATTCCACAATGCAGGCCAGTGCCTGTACTGTGAATGATGCTGATCCTGTGCTTCCAGCTGCTGCAGGGTGCAGGAGCAGTTGTGCTTGCAGCTCTTGGTCTGTCATTGCTCACTTCTGTGTTTCAGGATGAACCTCCCCCTCCTTGACCGCACAATCCCGGATTACACCAGCTTCAACACTGTGGATGAATGGCTGGATGCCATCAAGATGAGCCAGTACAAGGAGAGCTTTGCCAGTGCTGGCTTCACCACTTTTGATGTAGTATCTCAGATGACTGTAGAGTAAGTGCCCAGGCTTTGAGTCCCAAAGCACAAGAGAAATTCCCAGCAGTTTTGCCAAAATTGGTATTGAATTAGATTTTATTTTCATATGATGTAGTTTTACTTGTATAGAATTGCTGCTTTGTGTTGCCACTTCTAATCTATTCAGTTTCCAGACCATATGTCTGTCACTCTGCACCTACAGAATTCCTCTCCCCATTACCACTCTGTGAAAATTAACACCCCCACCAAGGGTGTCCAAACCCCTGCATGGGACAAACAGATTTCAGGCTGGCATCAGACAATTCTCCAGAGCACTTCTGAGCTCTGCACTCCTCTTGGATGGCTGATGTATTGATGGAGACAAGCGTGGTGCAACGTTTTGCCTAAGAAAGGCAGAATCACAGAGTGGTTACAGTTGAAAGGGACCACTGGAGATCACCCAGTCCAACCTTCCTGCTCAGCTTCTAGAGCTCCTCACGCAGGATGATGCCTGTGGAAGAGATTTCACACCCTCTCTGGGAAGTCTGTTCTGCCCACACAGTAGAGAAGTTCTTCCTCATGTTCTGGTGGATCTTTCTGGGCATGGATTTCTTCCCATTGCCTCTCATCCTGTTGCTCTGCCAGAGCTCCAGCCTCTGCCACATCCCCTCACACACCCCGATAAGATCTCCTTGTGGGGGGGTGGTTTCAACTTTGTCCTGCACCTACAAAAATCATCCTGCAGTGACAATTGACAAGTGACAGTCAGCACCCCTGATTCTTCACAAGTTTTCCAGAGAAATCAGGCAGCTGAAATCCCACTGCTGGTGGGTTTTGAAATCCCTTGGGGCTGGCTGGGACTTTGATGCTTCTGCTGAAAGATTTGTGGCTGTCTGCAGGTATCTGTAGAAACCCTCAGAAAGGGCCAAGCATTAGAGCTATCTGTAAGGGCTGCAATGTCTCTGAGCCTGGTGGCCAGGGAGGTTTTTTGATTTGTGTTTAAATCCAGATCTTAAATCTAAGTGAGTCAGAATCCATTCACTCAAACAGCCACTGTGACTTTCTCTGGCTTTTTGTTCTTACTGCTGCTGGGAGGTTCCCGTGGCAGTCCTGACTGTTTTGGGACATCTGTGGTACAATCCCAAGCCCCTGGGGATGATTTTAGCACAGTATTGGCTGTGTTTATACAACAGAGAGAGTCCACAAAATCTGAAGGGTAGGGAAGAACTTTGACCAAAGAGAGGTATCAGACTAAAACCCTGAGTTCTGCTATTTGCAGTATCTGACAGCAAGCAGGATGCAGACAATCCAGCTAATACTGGCTGTTCTTTCACATCCTCAGTGTCCCTTAAATGCCAGTTCTCCCAGTCCCTTACCATGTCCCTCAAGTCCCTCTCCAAGAGCCTTCACCACAATTCCAAGGGCATCCTCAGCTCATGTCCCACTAGTTTTGGCAAACTTCCTTTCCACATTCCTCACCTGCTTGGCTGGGTGTACAATTGAGAGGACGGCCCAAGTCCTTTGTTCTTGGAAAATTGTGGTGTAACAGGACTTGACACCACCCCCTGATGTTCACTGACCTTTGCAGAAGTTGATGGGAATGTCAGTGGAGCTGCTGGTTCATCCAGATTTGGAGAGCCAGCAAAGTGTGAATGTTTCCTGAAATGTGGATTTGGTGACTCAGTTCACCAAACCCACATGGTCTCAACACTGACCTTCTGGAAAGGGTTCTCACTGGTTTGTCTGCAGGCTGGGACACCTGGCACTCCAACTTACCTTTCAAGGGCCACAGAACCATTGGAGTTGGAAGGGACCTTAAAGCTCATCTTAAAGCCATGGGCTTTAAGACAATTTCCACCATCCCAGCTTGCTCCAAGCCCCATCCAGCCTGGCCTTGGACACTTCTAGGAAAGGGGCAGCCACAGCTTCTCTGGACATCGTGAGCCAGGGACTCACCACCCTCTGAGCAAAGAATGCCTTCCCAATATCCAATCAAATATTTCATGTCCAGGGCAGAAAGCTTGGAATCGCAGGGTTGTGCAGAGCCACAGTCTTATTCTGGTTTAAACACATGAGTGAAAAGTTTTTTCCACCCTTTGGAGCTCCTCTTTACCCTTCTTTGCCCAATAACCTCCACTCTAAACATGGCAAAGGTTTTGCCACTCTTCCCCTTAAACATTTGTTCCTAACACTCAAGGACAAAAGGCACCAGAAATTCCTTCAAGTCAGGTTTGGCCTCCCATCCGCTGATGGGAAGAAGAAGATCTAAAGGTTCATGGCAGATTTATTCACCAAGGGGGAGCTGAGAGCAAACTCAGCTGGAGACACAGATAGGACCAATTTAGAGCCACACTCATGCTTGTGGCATGACTTTTATTTCTCTCAGATGTCTATGAAAAATAGAAGCTGTCCAAAAATGAGATTGTAATGATTTAACAAAAGGCTAAGTGCAAAAATTGATCACTTCATGGTCTTACCTTTCCTTTTCTCAAAGGAAAAGCATCAAGAACAGCATCATCTGCATATGGAGGTCAGATCTACACTGAGGAGGGGCAGCATATCCCTGTCCTGTGTCTCCAGGGGTAGAAAAAATGGGTTAGTGTGTCACAAAACTAAAGAAAACCCAAAATCCAAAACAGTACATGGGCAAAAAATGTAAGACAAATTGGCTCACAAGCAGAGAGCAGAGCCTGTGGCATTTGGTTTCACACTCTCTGTTGAGGTTCAGGACTCTGAGGGTGCTGCAGGTAGGTTGAAAGTGCAAAGATTGGACAGTAAGCAAGAAAAAGTGAAAGAGGAGAGGTTTCACAAGGTTTGCATCTGTTTATTGCATTCATGAAAGAAATCTGTGGATACTTCAGCTCTCTAAATACCATTCTCATGGACTCAGAGAATCAGGGAATCATAGAATCATAGAATTGCAGAATGGTTTGGGTTGAAAGAAGCCTTAAAGATAATTTTAAATACCATCTGTGATCTTGTTCTACTCTGAGAAAATGCCTCCTGATATTTGTGTTTGTTTCCTTTCCTCCCAAAGGGACATTCTGCGAGTCGGGGTCACTTTAGCAGGACACCAGAAGAAAATTCTGAACAGTATCCAGGTGATGAGAGCACAGATGAACCAAATCCAGTCTGTGGAGGTTTGATAGCTGCCTGTCCTCCTGCTCCTCCTCCTCGAGGCCCTGCTCCCCTTTGCCCCTGTGTGTCCAAGCTCCAGTTCCTGAGTGTTCTGCATGGACCAGAGGCAGGCAGCTGCTCTGAGGATCACAGCAGCAGGAGGGAACACCCTGTCCTCAGCAATGAGAAGTTGCCAAGAGCTTCTAGAATTTAAGCAATGGAAAAAGGGAACAAAAAAAAAAAAAAAAAAAGGACAACTATTTTGAAAAAAAAAAAACAAACGAACAAACTACAAAATATTTTTAAATAATAATAAAGCAATTGCATTCTTGAAAAGGGCTCCAAGACCAATGGGAGTCTCCAAAGGAAGAGAAAAGAGCAGCTTCATGTTTCCTCTTGCACAAGGCTGCTGCAGCTGGACCCAGGCACCTCTGGAGCAGTGGGACTTCCCCAGGAAGAGGAATGCAAGGAGAGGCCACGAGAAGCACATCTCTTCCTCCCATGGGCTCTGGGAATGCCATGAGCCAGGCCCCTCCCCAGAGCCCCTGTCAGCACATCAGACAGGGAGAGCTGAAGCTCTTTGGTGCTGTGAAACCAAGTGCATCTCAGAAACTGATGGACTCCTTCAAAAGCTGAAGACTTCTTTTTTTTAAAAAAAAAAACAACAAAAAACACAACAAATAAACTAAGACTAGAGGAGGCTGTTTCCAACAAATGAGAAGGAATCTGTAATGCCTGGGGGGGTGGGGATGGGGAAAACCAATCCTTTTTACATCTCTTATTTTCTCTTGTCATGGAACAGTTTTGTGAGTGACAGTTTCCTAAGGGTCCGTCCATCCACCCTCCAATGGCATCATGTCTCATACATATCATTGCTCAAGACTTTTAGTGATGTCCTTTCTAGATGCCAATGATCTTTTCCCAGAAGACTTCCCAAGTACAGTATGTAGTAGTTTTTGATTACAAATGCTGACGTGTACCTTTATTTTTCAGTTGTCATTGTTGGGAGATTTGTCCTTTTACATTGTTTTGTTAACATCAGTTTGTGAGTTTGGGGTTGGAAATTTTCGGTTGGTTGGGGGTTTGGTTTTTTTTAATGAAAAAGAAATGACATCTCCAAGCATCATATCATCCAAGAAGTTAAATCCCTTCCCTGTGGAAGGAAAAATTGCAGCTCATTGACCACATGCCAGGAGAAAAAGGTTTTTTATATGCACATTTCCTCCTGTTTGCTTATTTGTTCTTTCCAATTGGTCGTGGCACGACAGATGTTTGTGGCTGTTGGGTTTCCAGGTGTTTGCCAAAGTGAAATGGCCACCAGCTCAACCCAGGGGTGAGCAGCATCACAGGGGGGTTGGGAGGGAAAGGGGGGAGGTGGATGGGTTTTGTGAGGGAATGATGACTCCACAGCTGGCTTCAGAGCCCTCTGGAAGTGTCTGGCTGCTGAGGAAGGTTGGATTGGTGCATGGGAAATGCAGGGCAAGCCCAGTCCTCTCAGAGGAGCTCGTGGCACAGGATTTTGGAGTGGGGATTGTGTTCTCTCCAGGTGGGGATGGGTCCCTGCAGGTGCCAGGCTGTGCAGATGGGCTCTGTGCCTTGGGGACTCTGTCCCTTCACTGGGTGATGCAGCTTCAGGCTCAGCCCCTCATGTCAAAGAGAGCCTGGGACAGCAACAGCTCCAATCCCAGCTCTTGGGAGGCAAAATGCTGTGGGTGAAGCTGAATGGTCAATCAGTGGGTTTGTAAATAACTGAAAAAAAATTGTTTAGTTACTGACCAGGTCTTTGGGATGTGTGAATGCCACGAGCTAAGTGCAGGGAGGTGCAGATGAGAACCTGGTTGTTCTCTGTGCCCAACACCACCTTGCCTCCTTTGAAGCATTCCACTCATGGCATTTTCCCACCCCTCTCCTGGTCGTGGCCTCAGGACTGGCATTCACAACTCCTCGTCTGCCATTGCCATGTCGTTCCTGGGCTCCCCCTCTTGTTTTTGGCAGTAAGGAGTGTTGAAGGCACGTTCACTGGGAGCTGCCTGGCTGTATTTTCCAGGAGCTGAATCCAAGAGGAAGTGTGTCTGCTGTGGATGAAAATCCCAAGCTGTCTAGACCTCTGTGGCCAGACACCATCTCCCCAGACTGCTTGTAAAATATGAGGTCCTTTATTAAATACTTCTAGCATTTTCTACTGCCAGGCCAGATCCAACAACAAAGCCCTTGTGAGTGGCATCAGAGCAGTCCCTGCCAGCAAGACTCCTCTCCTGAGCTCTTGCCCTGTCCCAGGGTTTGCTGCTCCAGCAGCAGGGGCTTTCAGTGGAGGAACTGTCCCTCCAGCCCCTGTTAATCCAAAATCTCTAGTGCAGTGTTGTGCTTGTGTTTGCATCCAGCCCTGGGTTTGCAGCTCTGGACTTGTCTGTAGTGTTGGCACCCAGGAGGTGTGTGCTGGGTGCCAGGGTCCTGTCCTGAGCTCGGTGCCCACGGGGCATCACCTGTGACAGCCCCAGCGTGGCTGGCAGGTGGCACGGAGTGTGTAGGCATGGGGTGTGCAGGTGCAACCTGGAGGGGCAGCTCTGCCCTAAATCCAGCCTGGTTTAGCCTGTGTATCCAAAGGGACACTTGGAATGCCTTTGCACCCAAACAGCTCTTGCTCCTGCTCAGGTGATGGGCTCAGCTGTGAAAGGACATAAAAGATCCCTGGAGGTGTTTGCAGAGGGCACACAGGGAAGCCAGGGGCTCCCAGGCGTGCCCAGCCCCAGTGTGGTGCAGGAGCCTCCCCTGGTGAGTCTGTCCCACGTGGTGGCCACTGTGCTTTGACAAGGAGCACTTGTCACTGTGTGCCAAAGGCACATGAAGCTCTCTGAGGGCAGGATGGTGCTGTGCCAGCTGTCCAGCCACAGCCAGGAGTGACCTCGTGCCCCAGAGCTCTGCCAGGAGAGCTCTGCCTACAAAACTCACCAGCAGATTCCTGTGGGGCAGCCATGTGGAAGGAGCACATGATGCCCCTCACTTGTCCTCCCCAGACAGTTCCTGACTGTTCTCTGCCACCCCCGACATTCCTGCAGACACTGAGGAGGAGCAATGCCCAGGCAGCCTCCCTGCAGAGCCACCCAGGCCTTGGAAGGGCACTTCAGGTCTTCTTCATCTGGAGACATTTTGTCTCAATGCACTGAATCTCCTCGCTGGCTGCTGCAGACACATCTACCTGCCAGACCCAGCCCACTGTGAAGGACAGGCCCCAGTGGCACAGCCCCCAGAGCTGTGGCAGCCATCTGCAGGACAGAGAAAGCCCATCCTTGTCTCTTCTTCTGACCAAAAATCACATGGTGGTGGTGGTACTAAAAGTAACACCTTCCCATCTGTTATACCAGACATGGCTGTGACACTGTGTTTGGCTGTGTAGGACTAATGAAGAGCTGGACTAAAATAGGCATGGTCCAGAAAACTCTGCAGTTTTTGCATCCTTCAGCTCTCCTGGGAGCACGAGCAACCAAGTTCCTGTCAAGTGCTTTGGTTGTAAACGCCTCTGGCACATGCTGCAGAGTGGGGGCAGAGGCACTGGAGTGACAATAACAGATTTATTTCATGGCTCCCCAATGTACTGCTACGAATTGGGAGTCTAATGGAAAACTCAGTGTGTTGCAAGGGGAAAAGGCACTTGCTAACATTGACACTGTGAAATGCTGTTGTGCTTGTGCATGTGTGCATGTGTGGGTACGTAACAAAATCATCACATGGAGATTTTCAGGCAGCTTGTTGCAATTTTCACATTTCCTCTTTACCTTTCAAGCTACCTCCCAGCCCTTCCCTTCTCCCATTCCCACTTCCTGCTGAGGATCAGCCTGTGGAGGGTGTTTGGTGGGAATGCTCAGCAGGTTGGATGTTCTCAGTTGGTTCAAATCTTGCAGAGCATCACAGGGCAGAGCAGAGGAAGCAAAGCATATGTGGACAGTAAAAAGTTAAAATATGTTTTGTAGGTCACTTCCAGCTGTTGCCACCAGCCCATTTGCTGGAATAACAGCCCAGGGGTGTGAAGAAGAAAGGAAGAACAGACCTGTAAGATACAGCACTGCCATGAGGAATCACTTGTCCTAGTGGCCGTGGGGACACAAAACAGGGCACTGTGAGCTGCACATCCCCTCCCCAAAGGATCTGCTCTCCTCCCCAGTAAACCTCAGAACTGCCTTTCATGAATTAGTGGGGTTTTGTGCTTTTCAGCAGCTGAGGCGCTCCTCCTCTCCCTGACACCCTCCCTGCCCAGCAGCAGCTTCCAAAGGCAGCAGTCCGTGCTGGGGCTTCCGTGTGATCCAGATAAACGGGGCTGTCCCAGGGTATCCCACTGCTGCAGGCTTCCTGCAGTGCTCTAATCCCAGGGACCCATCCCATGGCTGCACTGCAGCTGTACAGCAGGGCCAGCCATGGGCACCACGCCAGGGTGAGGGCAGGGGCTGGAGGACTGGGCACCCAGCAGAGCTTCATCCCTGTGAGCTGTGCCCGGCAGGATCAGGAGTGCTGGCTGCTGTGAGCCCCGTCCCCAAGCCAGGACGCTGCTCCCTTCACTGCCTGGAGCTGCTCCCTGTGGCCTGGCCCGAGCTGAGCAGAGGGATCCTCATCAGCACCAGCTGCTGCCTGCACTACAGGGCTTTTCCCACACTCCCTGGAGCTGGTTTGGAATTGGGTTAAAGGAAAGGTTCTTCCCCAGGAATCATCACCCAGGCTCTGGATTAGCGGTGGCCTGTAGAGAGAACCTCTTGGAGGGTTTGAGCAGCTGAGGAAACTTCTTGTTATATTTGCCAGGCTGATTTATATTAATCCTGGAGTCAGGGCTTGAACTCTGCTGCATCGTTAACAGTTGTATCCTCTGATGATGCAATAAATCTGGGACTGCCTTGGATGTACAACAGAGTACTGGAAGTGTCACTGCTGTCTGGTTTGGTTTAGTGGAGTTTATTGTTTTAATGTAAATCATCTTCTTTCCTGTATGTCTAACTCGAGGCTGATTTAATGTAGGTCTTTTTCCATCCTCAAAAATGTTACATATTTGCAAGTCCTTCACATACAGGATTCAACTTTTTTTATCTACAGTCACATCTTGGCCTTTTTTATTTAAACTTATTCAGGACGTCTGTGCTTCTTGTAGTTCTTTGCCCTTCCCAGGACACAACCTTGGCCTGTGTTTGCTTCCATATGTGTTCCAATCTTCCACTGCTCTCCTAGAAAACTCCCTGCACTTTCCAAATATTTCCTGGAATTTACCTCCTTGCTGTCCCTGTGTAAACTCCTGCCAGCTCCACTGACAAATGTTATTTGCAGAAATTTGGGACTGGAAGCAAGAAGTCCTCTCTCCCCACAAATCTTTTCCTGAATCTGCATTCCTGCTCTCTTAACACTCATTCAGCAGTATCTCTCCCATTTTTCTCCTTCTTACATTCTGCGAGAAATCCCCCTGTGAGCTCTGCAGGAGTGCAGCAGCAGTGCCACTCTGTCTCCTGGTCCAATTCCACTGGGACATCCCAGTGCCCCACTGCCACCCCTGCAAACAAACCACAACTCAGCCTTGCGTGCCTCATTTTTTGTCAGCAACTCCATTTTGCCTTCATGAAAAAAAGAACAACAAACACTTGGCTGATCCTTTTCCAGCTCTTTTGTTCCAGTAAACTTCAGGAATTGTTCACTTGCAACTGTAGCTTCAACTTCTACCTCTGGGGTCGGTCTGGAGCTCTTGTACAGATGTCATGCCATATCCTTTGGTTATTCCAACTAAGCTGGGGAGGGAAGGAATAAATTTTGTCTTTAAGAGCCAAACAGCTGTGTTAAGAAAAATTAATGGAAGGGGTTCAAGGAGGAGCCCTGCCCATGGCAGGGAGTTGGAACAAGATGATCTTTAAGGTCCTTTCCAACCCAAAGCATCCCAGGATTCCATGAGGACTGGGGGAAGTGCATTACTCTGCCTGAGGATGAAGCTGGCAGTCAGAGCCCCCTTTTCCCCAAATGGTCTTTGGTCTGAACTTCAGCTCACTGACCCCAGGCTGAGTGGGCTGGGTTGGGAGATAGAGGTTGATAAAATCACCAGTCTGGGACAGATGGTGTGACAAACCCACAGCCTGGCTTGGCCTTTGCTGGTGGAGAATAAATGTGAAATCTCTGATTGCTAGCAAATACTGGCATTCAGGAGCCTTCACACAAGGTTACGAGCTGGTGAATTTTTAATGTGCTGGCTCTGCAAA